TGTGAATGTTCCAAACTTCAATCAGGGCTGCTTTTCCGCATCATGCCAAGGTAGCGGATACCCGCAAAAAATATCGGCGCAACGAGTTCATTAAGCACGCAAGGAATGGACATTGAACACGCCGCTTGAATCACCGAGCATTATGAGCTCAATTTGTGTTGTTTGGCGGCGAGGTGATCTGAATATAGCCGCGACACCCTGTGGTACCCGTGATGCTCCCAATGGCTTGGAGCAAGGACCAGAAGGTTCCCACTTTGTGGAGCCCGCCAATCTGTCTCGGCAAACAGCCGACGGGAGGCGCGTGGGTGGCGGCATCTACACATCACGACACATCACGCACACAGATATCGACATCCACCTGCCAGGCGAAGAAATTCGCACTGCCAATGGAACGGCCGCCAGGGGCTTACGACGCTACTTAAGCTGCTGCGACTTCCTTTGTGGCTTTGGTGATTGTGGCTTTGGTGATTGCGGCTTTCTTGTGCCGGTGGCTTTTGTCAGGCCGTGAAGCTACATGACCCGCGCGGCTGGCAACTGCCCAGCCGAGTGTCTGGCTTATATCTGCCAGTGCCGGAGGCCTACAAGCCTTATCGCTTGAAGGCCGGCAGCAACCGCCCGCGCTGCTGTTTGCCATACGGCCGTTGATGAACAGTGTTGTGCTTCCGAGCTCATCAGAACTGAGGCTGCGTCGTGCATTGTCATTACAGTGTCGTTGCATTGTCATTACATTGTCATTGCATTGTCATTACATTGTGATTGCATTGTCATTACATTGTCGTTGCACTGTCATGTAGGAGTCGTCTATTGTCAGCAGCCATAGAAGTGTTCGAGACGAATTGAGAGCCTTCTTTGTACCCCTTGTGTTTGGTATGGCTTCTCACCACCGCCGCCACCGTCAAGGCAACAGCCGAGGCAACAGCCGAGACAACAGAAGCCGAAGCCGAAGCCGAGGCCGAAGCTCAGGCCGAGGCTCCAGCCAGGTTTACAAAGCCCTCTGGCAAAAGACCGAGCAAGAACATCAAAAGACAAAAGAAGAGCTGGCACGCCTACAAGAGAAGCTCAAATCGCAGGAGAAGAAGGAGAGGCAGCGCAGCAAATCTTTGCAGGGAGAGCTGCGGGAAGCCCAGTGTGAGACCCCCAAACCCTAGACCCTAAACCAAAAACCCTAAACCCTAAACCCCAACCCTTATAAACCCTCAACCCTAAACCTAGAGTGCAGCTGATGGACAGCGCGCGCGGCTTGGACGCCTCGGGTGGTCCACCACATTCGCTGCCCGTTGCTTCCTGCACGAGGCGGACATGTGTCACGGCATACAGTCGGCGCCCCATCGCGAGTACATCTGCTACAGCCGGGCCAAGCGGAAGTTGGGGATGTGGCCTTCCCGCACGGCGTTCCGGAAAGGTACGCAGCTTCGAGCGCAGAGAAGGAGGCCAACAAGTGGAGTAAAAGGGTGCTGCTGGCCAAGAAGCGGAACGCGCTGACTTGGGAGCAGTGGCACAACCCCAACATGTGCTGGCGCCACCTCGCAGGGGACGGGAAACCCTACAAACGCTAAACCCTACAAACCCTATAAACCCTAAACCCTACATGCGCAGGCACTAAAGCCTATAAGCCCTAAACCCTAAACCCCATAAACCGCAAGCCCTAAACTGAAAAACTTAGCACTCAAAGCTCCAGACCCTATAAAGCCCTGAAGCCCTTACAACCCTAACACCCTTGAAGCCCTAAAACCCTGTCCGACACACCCCCCCCCCCCCCCTTCCCCCCCCTAAGCCCTAAACCCGAAACCCTAAACCCTAAACCCTAAACCGCAGGGCGCGGTTTCCCTCTCGACGTTCCATGGGCGGGGAGGCGGACGCGCGGCGGGCGCGTGAGCAGGCACCCTTGGGGCCTTCTGGGCCTTTATAGAAATTGTATAGGGTTTGTGTCCGGAGTTTTGGGGGGTTTTGGGGGGTTTTGGGGGGTTTTGTCGGGTTTTGTCGGGTTTTGGGGGGTTTTGCCGGGTTTTGCTTTTTGCTTTTGTCATTTTGACTTTGGGGTTGTGGGGCTGGGGCTGGGGGAGGGGCTGGAGGGGCTGGAGGGGCTGGAGGGGCTGGAGGGGCTGGAGGGGCTGGAGGGGCTGGAGGGGCTGGAGGGGCTGGGCTGAGAGGGGGCTGGCTGAAGGGTTTGGCTAATACTTTTCGCGCTGTGAAGGATGAAGGATTATTGCACGAGCTGCTCGTAATGAAACACTTACAATTTCTATTTATCCTGGCCTTGAGGGTTTAGGGTTTAGGGTTTAGGGTTTAGGGTTCAGGGCCTTTCTGGATGGTTATGAGATGGGGGAGTTTGGGGCGTGTTTTTGGGTTTGGGGCTTATATAAGTCTAAGGCTTTTACAAGTTTCGGGCTTATGCTTAATTACGTAGGTTTAGGGTTTAGGTGGGTTTAGGGTTTAATTTCATTTTTTCGCCGGGGTTAGGGTTTAAGGCAGAGTGTTTCGGGTTTAGATCTTGATGGATTAAAGTTCAGGACTTTGGGTGCTTACTCAGCCTAATGGTCCACGTACCAAACAGTGTAGTATCCTTCCCTAAACCCTAAACCCTAAACCCTAAACCCTAAACTCTAAACTCTAAAACCTAAACCCTAAACCTAAACCGGCTTAAGTGGGTTAGCAGCCTGGGGGTTCAGGGTTTACGGTGTAAGGCTACGAAAATATCCTGAAATCCTAAGCCACCAAGACCTCTCAACCCTGACCCCAAACCCCTGGACCCTAAGCTACTAGTTGCTCAAGAACCCCGAAAAAACAAAAAAAACTATTACTCCTGATTACGGGTAATATAGGGATTATTGTGTTCTATTCTTTTGGGTTTCTTAAGCAAATAGTAGTAAGCCCTACAAGCCTAGGATGCACAGCAGTACCCTTATTCAGTTCTTTGGGGGGGGTTAGGTTCCTTCTAAGCCCCTTCAGACCAAAAAGGGCACCTTTTTTCATCCCAGCTTACTGGGCCACCTAGAAAGTCCTAAACTCTAAACCCTACAGCCCTGAACCAACCCTAAACCCTAAACCATGGGTCGGCGACAGGCCGCCGATTCGTTTGGCTATGCGCCGCGCGGGGGGCCGAAGACGCTTGGTCCGAAGATGGCATTGCGACTAAACCTAAAACCTATATCCTTCACCCTTTTCCCTATACCCTATACTTACCCCAAACCCTAAAGCCCAAGCCCTAAGGGGTCCAGGGTTTAGGGTTTGGGGTTTCGGGTTTAGGGTCGAGGCTGGTTCAGAGTTTGGAGTTTTTGGGCTCAAGGTTGATAGGGTCTAGGGGTATGATTTTCAGACTGTAAAGGGCTCATGCTTGAATGGTCTGAGGGGTTAGGGTTTAGTTCTTTCTTAGGCTTCAAGGGCTTCGGGTTTGAACACATCCTATGGCAGCCTTCCCTGTAGGAGGACCTCCACCAGAGGAGACCCCGACCTTAGACGCTCAGACTAAATCTCCCTTGCCTTACTGATGCGAAAAATCTACGGATGCAGGGTTTTCACTAAACCCAGGGTTTAGGGTTTGGGGTTTGGGGTTTGGGGTTTGGGGTTTAGGGTAAACGAAACCCTGATACCCGAACCCTAGACGGACATCTTCTTTTTGTTCGTAGCCGAATGAGTACACTTTACACTTGTAAGCATACCACAATCCAAAAGAGAGCGGAAAGTGTACACGTTTTTGGGGCTGATGAACTCAGCAACTAGCCCTAAACCCTAAACCCTAAACCCTAAACCCTAAACCCTAAACCCTAAACCCTAGACCCTAGACCCTAGACCCTAAACCCTAAACCCGAAACCCGAAGCCCCAACCTTACACACCCGCCAAGGCTGCCACACGTGCCCTCAACGATCTGCCCCAGTGCGCAAGAGCCTTCCGAACGGGAGAAGGTCGAGGCCGGCCATTCGCGGTTTTAGGGCTTCTTGGGCTTAGGGTTTAGGGTTGTTTAGGGTTTAGGGTTTAGGGATTAAGGTTTAGGGTTTAGGATTTATGCAGGGCTTATGGTTTAGGGTTTAGGGTTTAGGGAGGGTCCGGGGTTTTTTTTTTGCAAAGGTGTGGCTCGGCCCTGTCCCCTTGCAAAGGTGTGGCTTGGCTTGGCTTGGCTTGGCTGGGCGTGTCCTCTGACCTGGCTTGGCTTGGCTTGGCTCGGCTTGTCCTCTGGCTTGGCTTGGCTCGGCTTGGCTTTCGTTGGCTTGGCTCCTTGGCTTGGCTTGGCTCGGGTGGGCTCGGCTCGGCTTGGCTTGGCCTGGCTGGCTTGGCTTGGCTTGGCTCGGCGTGGCTTGGCTCGGCTTGGCCTGGCTTGGGTGCCGACTTCGTTTTGATTTCCCTGTTCTCCCCAGTCGCAAAGATTCTTTTTACCGCGATGTAGCTGTAGCTGGTAGAAATACGTGGAGTGTATATATGTAGTATGCGCAAGCATTGAGTTTGCAAATGGCTGCGCCCCCCCAACCCCCCCCGCTTTTTTAAGCCGTGCAAGCTTGCGTCAAAGCATATGAGTCTTGTTGAAACCCATGATGCAAGCATTGAGTTTGCAAATGGGGGGGGGCTGCGCCCCCCCCAACCCCCCCGCTTTTTTTGAGCCGTGCAAGCTTGCGTCAAAGCATATGATTCTTGTTGAAACCCATGATGCAAGCATTGAGTTTGCAAATGGGGGGGGGGCTGCGCCCCCCCCAACCCCCCCGCTTTTTTTGAGCCGTGCAAGCTTGCGTCAAAGCATATGAGTCTTGTTGAAACCCATGATGCAAGCATTGAGTTTGCAAATGGGGGGGGCTGCGCCCCCCCCAACCCCCCCGCTTTTTTAAGCCGTGCAAGCTTGCGTCAAAGCATATGAGTCTTGTTGAAACCCATGATGCAAGCATTAAGTTTGCAAATGGCCCCCCCGGTGTTGGAACCCATGATGCAAGCATTGAGTTTGCAAATGGGGGGGGCTGCGCCCCCCCCAACCCCCCCGCTTTTTTAAGCCGTGCAAGCTTGCATCAAAGCATAAGAGTCTTTTTGAAACCCATGATGCAAGCATTGAGTTTGCAAATGGGGGGGGGCTGCGCCCCCCCCAACCCCCCCGCTTTTTTAAGCCGTGCAAGCTTGCGTCAAAGCATATGATTCTTGTTGAAACCCATGATGCAAGCATTGAGTTTGCAAATGGGGGGGGCTGCGCCCCCCCCAACCCCCCCGCTTTTTTTGAGCCGTGCAAGCTTGCGTCAAAGCATATGAGTCTTGTTGAAACCCATGATGCAAGCATTGAGTTTGCAAATGGGGGGGGCTGCGCCCCCCCCAACCCCCCCGCTTTTTTAAGCCGTGCAAGCTTGCGTCAAAGCATATGAGTCTTGTTGAAACCCATGATGCAAGCATTAAGTTTGCAAATGGCCCCCCCGGTGTTGGAACCCATGATGCAAGCATTGAGTTTGCAAATGGGGGGGGCTGCGCCCCCCCCAACCCCCCCGCTTTTTTAAGCCGTGCAAGCTTGCATCAAAGCATAAGAGTCTTTTTGAAACCCATGATGCAAGCATTGAGTTTTCAAATGGGGGGGGGCTGCGCCCCCCCCAACCCCCCGCTTCTGAAAGCCGTGCAAGCTTGTTTCAAAGCATATGAGTTTTTTTGAAACCTAGAGGCAAGCATTGAGTTTGCAAATAAGGGGGAGGGAGTCGGGGTGGTGAGAGTGGGGGGTGGGGGGGAGTGGGGAGGGGGGTGGGGGGGGGGGGGGGGGGGGGGGGGGGGGTGGGGGGTGTTGGTGGGGGGGGGTGGGTGGGGGGGGTGGACGTGGAGGGGAAGGGGGTTACCGAGCCACACCTTTGCAAGAGGACAGGGCCGAGCCACACCTTTGCAAAAAAAAACCCCTCCGCCGGTTTAGGGATTAATGTTGGACCCTCTTTAATCTGTAGGGCACCCCCCCCCCCCCCCCCCCCTGAACAGTCGAGGCGTGGATGGGAGCCTGATTACACGGCCCCGGGGGCTTATATGATTTCAATAGGGAGAAGTTTAGATAGGTTTAAAAGGGGCAGCGATGCCCGGTTATCTTTTCTTAAGGCGCGCCACGTGGAATTTTCTTACGGCGCCCGGACGAGTTGACTTTAAAGAGGACCCCGTAAACAGTCAGGGGTGAATAATTCGGCCAAATTGACTTTAAAGGGGAGGCCCCTACTAAAGAGGGTCCAACATTAAGGTTTAGGGTTTAGGGTTTAGGGCCTAGGGTTTAGGGTTTAGGGTTTAGGGTTTAGGGCCTAGGGTTTAGGGTTTAGGGCCTAGGGTTTAGGGTTTAGGGTTTAGGGTTTAGGGCCTAGGGTTTAGGGTTCAGGGTTTAGGGTTTAGGGCTTAAGGTTCAGGGATGCTTGGGCTTGGGGGGTTTCGGGCTGTTTCGGGCTTCGGAGGGCTTCCGCGGGGCTTTAGAGTTTGTGAGGTCTGAGCGTTTAGGGTTTAGGGTTTAGGGTTTGGGTTTAGGGTTTAGGGTTTAGGGTTTAGGGTTTAGGGTGAAGGGTGAAGGGTGAAGGGTGAGAGGGAGAGAGATCACCCCAAGTACAAGAAAGTGCACCAATGGCAACTCAGGCCCTCGAGCACGACCAACACTGAACAGGAACCTGGGGTAGAGGGGTAGTGTGGATGCCCTCAACCCTAAACCCTAAACCCTAACCCCTAAACCCTAAACCCAGTCTGGGGGCAGTAGAACGCTTCGATGTTTGTTCCTTCTGCGCACACAGAGCTGCCAGCAGGTGAGCATCGTCAAGAAGCTTCTTGGCCACTAGAAGGTGGGTGTTTCATGCTCTTTCCCCAAGTTAGGAATCCTTATAGTCCTAAGCCAAAAGACTTAAACCCTGAACCCTAATCCCTAAACCCGAAACCCTAAACCCTAAACCCTAAACCCTACGCTACGGCATGGTCAGGTTAGTTGTCTTGTGGACCCCATAGTCGACCCAGAGCACATAGGCACCTAATCTTTTAGGTAAGGTTCCCATACAGCCGCGTTCGACCAAGAAGGTGTTAGGGTTTAGGATTTCGGGTTTAGGACTTGGGGAATTACGGTTTAGGGTTTACTGTAGAGTTTGAGAATTCCTAGGTGACTCTGGGACCTGGGAAACAGGAAAGTATGCCACCCTAAACCCTAAACCCTAAACCCTAAACCCTAAACCCTAAACCCTAAACCCTAAACCCTAAACCTCTCTTTCATATATGATGTAAATGTTATGGTTTTACTGGGCAAGGTCGTTTCGTCCAAAAAGCGACCTTGCCCAGTAAAAAAAATGACCTTGCCCAGTGAGGAAATGACCTTGCCCAGTAAAAATGTTACTGGGCAAGGTCATTTTTTTACTGGGCAAGGTCATCTTTTTGCTGGGCAAGGTCATTTTTTTTACTGGGCAAGGTCATTACTGGGCAAGGCCATTTTTTTCTGGGCAAGGTCCTTTTTTACTGGGCAAGGTCCTTTTTTTACTGGGCAAAGTCGTTCCATAAGTGAAATATTTTCTTAATGTTGTCGGCTTCTTTGGGCGGGTGGGTATTTTTCTGGAGTAATTTCTTGACTAGTGAATGCTTGGACTTGAGATGCTGAACCCTAAACCCTAAACCCTAAACCCGAAGCAGACTCCCGAGGCTCTTAGAGAGCTACCTGACCCTGGTCAAGAAGAACATCGCCGACTCGGCGCCGGAAACAAGAGGGCTCTAAGTGCAGGAAAGAAAAGGGCTTAGGGTTTTGGGGTTTAGGGTTTAGGGGTTTAGGGTTTTTGGGTTTTTGGGTTTGGGGTTTAGGGCTTAGGCTTTAGGGTGCACCGTTTGGTGTTTTGGGGTTCAGGATTTGGGGTTTAGGGTTTAAGGTCTGAGGTGTAGGGTGTAAGGTCTGTGGTTTACGGTTTGTGGTTTAGGGTAAGAGGTTTGATGACAGCGCCAGGACGACGTACATCGCAGTAATGATAGAACCTGAGGGTAAACCTGCACCCTGAAACCTAAACCCTGCACCCTTAGGAAATTTCCATCGTGTGTGAAGTGTTCAGCCTTCAGCCTGACAAATCCTCAGCCACAGACCCCAAGACCCTAAACCCTGCACCCTCAACTACCCTAGACCCCAAAACCCTAAACCCTAAACCTGGAGTCGTCCTCATTCTTGCCAATCGCATGCCTAAACCTTAAACCCCAACCCCTTCCCCCTCACAATCCTCTGCGTTGGGAGACTGCAGCCTGAAATCGCTACCTGCTAAACCCTACTAGTACACAATAGAACAAATCTGTGGGAGATGAGATTAGGGTTTATCAGGCAGAATTCAATGGGGACAGAATACAGGGGTACAAATACGTATGTACATATACATATATATATATACACACAATGCATATGTGGCTCCTTCTGGCTTGCCCAAAATCTGACTCGGCAGATGAGTTGGAAAGGTGGCACGATATGATGCAAACGCAGCATCCCATCAGTCATTCATCTTGCACAACAGCGAGGGATGGCCGTAAATCAACAATAAACCCTAAACCCTTTAGGGGTGGAGTTTAAGTGTGTGTGGTGGGGGGGGACGAAATCAGGGTCGGGGTTTGGTGAGTGATTTGCAGAATCCAGTAGTAAATTCACATCCTATCTTTCAACAAGATGAAGATGCAGATAAGAGAATCACAATTTTAAAATACTTGATTACTATCCATCCTGTTGAATGGGATAACTTTCTGCAATTTATTGAAGCTGTTAATATGGAGCATGCGTTATCAGAATTTCAAGGCATGCCAGGAACTGTGCAGGAGTGGGGGGAGGGGGGGGGGAGGGGGAAGGGGGGGGGAGGGGGAGGCCCTATAACAAGAAATCGTCTTGCGCTTGCGCGAGGCATCTGGCTTAAACACCCCTGCTTTGATCTCCTTCAACATGGCAACGTAGGAACGAAGCGGAGCACTCAAAAGTTTACGCCAGCGTCTGGATTCCACACGAAGCTGTAGAGGCCATGGTTAGGGCATGTGGGGGGGAATGTGGGGGGGTATGTGGGGGGTATCTGGGGGGTATGTGGGGGGTATGTGGGGGTATGTGCGTCCACGAGCCCGCACAGCTGCCTTGCTTCAACGCCCAACGATCAGGAGCTCGGGCAATCCTCGCAGAGTGACTGCAGCTCAAGCTGCTTTGGGGGTAGTGGCCAAGTTGTCTCCCGAGCTGACGCGGAAGACCCTTTTTTTCGTGTTTTTTCGTGGGCCGTAAGATGGGTGGCGTACAGCCGTACTTCTTGATTTTAGCGGCGGGGCTTAGCTTCTGCGGTTCTTTTGCCTCGGATTGTTGCAAGAATGTTCGATGCTCAGATGCCTTGCGCCTGTGCGTGAACAAGTTTGACCTGGTATCAGCAGGCATTTGTGAAACACCCACGGAGCTTGTACACTGCCCAAGATGGACCCACAGCCGAACAGGTCCGGCCCTGGCCTTCCCTACCTCTTGAACCATTTCCCTTACCTCATCCACTGAACCCTAAACGGCTGCTTGCCTGAAAATGCAGGCGTGCGCCGATCTTTGCAGCAGGAAGGATCAGTAGGCCGGCGTGGGGCCCTGGGCCGTGGAACAGGTGCTGAAGCATGCGAGGGTGCGACGACTGGGACTGAGCCATCGGGAAGTCCCGTCTCGGTACAAACGGGGGGGTTCCGAACTAAGGGGTACCTTGGGGAATTTAGGTACATTTGGGTAAGCTCCGATATGCAAATGTATAGAAAATCAGTGTATTTAGCATATAGACACATACGGGCCCCCCTCAGGACCGCACATAGTCGAGCCGCTGCAAGAGAAAAAGAGTGCCAGCAAGTCGCGCGCCTTGTGAGCTCACTTCCACACGCCCCCTGCGAGTAAGAAAACGAGTTGTCATGCTCAGCAGCTGAGTCCCTGGAAGTGAAAATGCCCCCGTGCGAGTTCATCTTTTCCGGAAGTCTTTTTGGCTTTGTAGCGCAGTGCTTTCCGGGGCCCTTTGCTTGTACAATTTCGAGCCCGAGGATCGTTGTTCCTAATAAAGGAGGATGGTGACGAGGTTACGAGGTTGTTTCCGGGGGTCCTTGTCCACAGTGAGTCTGCCCGTTATTTGCTGGAATGGATCGTGCTGTCGGGCACTACGTTGCATTCATGATTCAATGCGGTCTGTGGAGTTGGTGCACTGACCCCTGCTGCTAGGCACTGGTTTCACGGCACTGCGTCGCATGAAGCTACACAAGGTTGGGGATCCGACGGTCCATCGTGATGCCAGCGCCAGGGACATTGATTCCGAGTGAGGTAGAGCTATAGCGCGCCCACATTCCCGATTCCATCAGCAGCATTGGAGGAGCAACAGCTACCTCCCAGTGTCCCATGCTTGGAACAGCTACCCCTCCCAGTGTCCCATGCTTGGCACAGCTACCCCTCCAAGTGTTCCATGCTTGGAACAGCTACCACTCCCAGTGTTCCATGCTGGGAACAGCTACCCCTCCCAGTGTTCCATGCTCGATTCCATGCTCTCAGAAGCTGCCCCTCCCAGTGTTCCATGCTTGGGACAGCTGTCCCTCCCAGGGTTGGAACAGCTGCCCTCCCAGTGTTGCATGCTTGGAACAGGTACCCCCTCCCAGTGTTCCACTCCCAGTGTTCCATGCTGGGAACAGCTACCCCTCCCAGTGTTCCATGCTCGATTCCACGCTCTCAGAAGCTGCCCCTCCCAGTGTTCCGTGACAGCTACCCCTTGCAGTGCACTGAAATTCGTGCTAGCATCAGCCGCAGTTGGCTGCCTGTTCGTTTTACAAGCGTGGAACGCTGGGAGGGGTAGCTGTTCCAAGCATGGAACACTGGGAGCAGCATGGAACACTGGGAGGGGGTAGCTGTTCCAAGCATGGAACACTGGGAGGGACAGCTGAAGACTGGGACGGGGCACGGAACACTGGGAGGGGTAGCTGTTAGCTGTTCCAGGATGGAACACTGGGAGGGGCAGCTGTTCCAAGCATGGAATGCTGGGATGGGTAGCTAGCTCTTCCTTATTTTTTCGCTCGACAGGCTCGTATGGTCTTTTGCTGGGCCAGCCATCATGCAGCTGAAAGCCCTGTTATGCTTCCTGAAACTTCTAAACGAAGGAAAACGCGTGCGCGAGAGTGTTTCAAAACATGGCAACCGTTTCTCACTCCCCGAAACCCTAAAACCTAAACCCTCAATCCTAAACCCTAACTTGCTGATGAGGAAGATGCCAAGCGGACGAAGTGGGGGAACTACTTGCCCGCTGCACTCCCTGCATGTCGAGGCGTGCATCAATCCCAAAAATGCCAAGCCCTTGTGCCATGATCTCTTGGCCCGTCAAGGGCCTCCGGGCGTGCAACGCTCATCAGTGGGGACTGGTCTCCGTACGTGTTTTTTTCCGTGATTTCAACATTTCGACTTGAACGTTCCTGGCACTGACTCAAGCTCAGAACGGTTGGACTTGTCACCTGTAGGTTGCCTCAGCTCCGTTTCTCGACATACTTGCCAAGTTTCCAAAGCAGTCGCCGAGAGGAGGAGAATCCAGATTATTAACAAGATACGTGATACAAATAGTCTTCATCGTGAAATGTTAAGAATATATGTTTATGATTGTTTATGATTAATACGCACAATCTCTTTCAAATATTTGTTGCTTATCATGTTTACATTAATCAATTCTTTTATACAAAAATTGACAGCCTCTGATGCAGTAAGGGAACTGTTTTCGCTCAAAGCTCCATAAAGGCAAAAATGGGTTCCATGGGCTTTTAAAACCGGATTCTTGGGTCGTTACATGGGCATGCTACAGATAGTACATGGGGTTCCATGGGCTTTTACGCTGGATTCTAGGGTCCTTACGTGGGCATGCTACCGATGGTACATTGAGGAAAGGTCTATGTTGACTTTGTGCTTCTCCGTCCCCTTTTTGCTTCACGCCAAATGGGTAGAGGGGCACCTTGAACCCAAACACGAAAAGCCTACACCCCGACTTGTGGCGCCGCCCACATCCCCCCCCCCCCCCCCCCCCCCCCCCCCCCCCCCCCCCCCCCCCCCCAACCCAATGGGGCTCGCCCTCCCATACTCCCCTACACACACAACCACTAAACTCTACACCCCGTTTTCGAATGATTGATTCGATGCTGCGTCTGCGTCAGGTCATGCCACCTTTCGCTTTTGGGCCGCCCGTCCCCACTCCGGCACAAACGAAGACCTGCAATGTTTTACAAGCCGGCTGCCCTAGTTTAGGGTTTAGGGCCCTATAAGCCCTAACCCTACACCTCAGTTTAGGGTGTAGGGTACGGGAATCCGTCCAAAGACAATCAAGAGATCTTCATAGCGGAGGTGCCGAAGGCGATCATGTTCTTCCTGGCCTTTGCCTCAGCGCCGTGTAGGGTCTAGGGTTTAGGGTTTAGAGCTTGGGGTTGGGACTTTCGGAGGATTGTTGGTTTGGCGTTCTTAGTAGGGAATGAAGGAAGAGCCCCCAGCGCCCCCCCCCCCCCCCAAAAAAAAAAAAAAAAAGGCGCTTTTTGTTTTCTTAATTTTTAGGGATTGAAGAGTAACAAACCGGAAAGTTCCTATTGGCATCAAAGCTCACATACACCCTTTAGCGGATTCAGGGTTTAGGGCTTAGGGTTCCTTAACCTTAACCCTAAAGCGCAGAAACGGGGAGGGGGGGGGGGTAAACTCTGCTCCTTAAACCCTAAACCCTAGCTCTATACCCTTCCCCAAACGATGCGGAATGCGAGTTGCAAGTTGGGAGTTTGGTGCTCCATGGGAATCAGAGGGATTGGGTTGTTCTCAGTTGGGGTCTTCACGGTTTTAGGGTTCAGGCTTCAGGTATAGGGTTTTAGGGTGTTAGGGTTAGGGTTTAGGGTTTACGGTCTAGGGTTTGGGGTTTAGGGGTTAGGGTTTAGCGTTTTGAGGTGTTGGGTTAGGGTTTAGGGTTTAGGGTTTAGGGTTTAGGGTTTAGGGTTTAGGGTTTAGGGTTTAGGGTTTAGGGTTTAGGGTTTAGGGTTTAGGGTTTAGGGTTGCCCTTTTGAAGCGCGAGGTGAGTGGCGCCGGGATCTCTTCAGATCCGAGCCGCGCCACCTTGGCTGCACTTGGCTTGCCCCAGCTGCCCACACAGTTTGTTGAGGGTTTCTGGATAGAACGACACTGGGCCCTTCTCATTAGGTTTAGGGTTTAGGGATTAGGGTTTAGGGTTTAGGGTTTAGGGTTTAGGGGGTTTCCGCGATTAGGGGTACCTGATTGGGGTCCTCATCATAGGGGATTCCTTCTACTTGGGGGCTATATTGGGGGTCCCCTATTTTCGTAAAGTGCCATCTAGGGGTCGGAAAAATTCCTCTTAGTATTCCCTTATGGCTCCGTTGTAGTTACGCTATAATAACCCCCAAAAAAACACTAACACAAAAACACTGTTCCACTTATTCAGGCCCCTATATTATCTACTTGGAGGTGCATGGGTACTTATAACCCTAATTGTAACGTTACTTATTTTCAGGGTTTGGGGATAGACTTGGTAGCCCAGTGCCTTTGTTTGGTTCTGGGTTCTCTTCTGAAGTGCCCCACCCAAAAAAGTGCCTTTTTATAAGATGGTTGTTGGGCTACCAAGGTTTAGACACTATACCTAGCGGTTCTCTTAGCAGGGAATGAGGGACGTACGTACTTTATATCCCGCCCCCATCTATACCCTTCAATGCTTTGCCTGCTCTAGTGAAGGCCCCCTATTTAAAGTCAACTTTGCCGGGCTATTCAGGACACTGTGAGCCAGCCTAACCTCGCAGATTGGGCACTGTTTCGGGACCCTGAGCTGGCGTCCTTGGCCCCGGGCCCGGGGCTCAGGATTAAACCGCAAGTAACCCTTAGCCCTTAACCCTAGTAGTAGAGTAGGTAACCTTTAACCTTTTTTGGGGGTAGTATAATCCCCTTATAATCCCAACCTTTAGTTCCCCCAGGTTACTGGACAACTAAGTAGCGCTTCCCAAAGAGCTCCATCGCCAGAGGTTAGCTCCCTCAAGGACGCGATCCAAAGCGAGTGCGTCACGAGGCCTGGGACCCCAGCCCCAAACGTGGGACATCCATCCACGCCGTGCCAACCCAAGTTGAAAAGATGCCCACTAACATTTTTTATGCTTTTTGCTTTTGATTCTGAATGTGCACCTTTTTGCTCCTAGGCTAGTGGAGAACTCTCTAAACTGAAAGCCCTAAGTGCCTATAAACCTGAATCCCAAACCGTAACCTGCTCAGTGCACAGTACTCGTAGTACCCAGGTACTCCAATACCCCTTAATTAAGAAATATTCCTTCAACCATATAAGGAACCCGATTATGATTTAAGGAATAGTCCTTAACTAAGGGGCATCAGAGTCCCTGGGTAGGTCGCAGCTTCCTGGCGAGCCTGCGCAGGAGGGTTTGTCCAGCAGTCCTGCAAGTATGGTAGATGTTTGGAGATGTATAGGGTGTGTATCTGTTAATTTAGTGAATTTGCTGTAGGCCCAACATGTGGAAGCCTTGAGCATGTAGCATCTCTGTCACTTCAAAACCATCCGCAGCCCTAAACCCTAAACCCTAAACCCGAAACCCTAAACCCTAAACCCTAAACCCCAAACCCCAAACCCTAAACCCTAAACCCTAAACCCTAAACCTACAACACTGCACACTACACGAAATAGGAGCTCAGGGTGGGTTGAGGGTTGGGGGTTCGGCTTGTGGTGCGCCAAGGCCAAATTAGAATTCGAATTTGGGATGCGGAACTCGGCACGAATATAGGTATTTCCCCCCCCCCCCCCCAAAAAAAAGGTGCACCCGATTTATACCCCAAATAGAAAGGAATTTCCTGAAAGGGACCCGGGATGCGGAATTCGGCACTAACATCGGCATTTCCCCCCCAAAAAAGGGGCACCCCTTTTATACCCCAAATAGAAAGGAATTTCCTGAAAGGGACCCCCCCCCCCCCCCCCCTGCCTCCAAAACGGTACCCCTATTGCGGAAACCGCCATGTATAGACCTCAAGCCCTATGAGCCCTAAACCCTAAACCCTAAACCCTAAACCCTAAACCCTAAACCCTAAACCCTAAACCTTTGACCTGGCAGGCTGTACAAAGAGGAGCTCTACGATTCGCTGCTCTGCGAGGAGGGAGACGCCGGGAGCCTAAGGCTTACTTGGCGGTTTCCGAAACTGGGGTTTAGGGTTTAGGGTTTAGGGTTTAGGGTTTAGGGTTTAGGGTTTAGGGTTTAGGGTTTAGGGTTTAGGGTTTAGGGTGGGGTACCTTATTGGGGTCCTTATTGTAAGGGAATCCGACTTTTTTGGGGTTTATTGTAGGGGTCCCCTTATTTTCGTAAACCCCCAGCTAAGGGTCCATGTACCAATACAGTCATATAGCTATTGCATGGGCACCCCGGCCAAGTATATACCACATGGGTACCTGGACCCTTTGGGCTTGTTACTAGCACCGTCATCGCGATCAAGATTCACGTTGCCACTCTCACATCGCTGTTCAAAGTCGCTTCTTTACTATTCGCTGTCATGTCACAGCTGTGATTCCAAGGTTTCCTTTCTGCTATGTTTGTTCATGTTGTTCTGAGTTCGGGGGTGCTTCCAGGTTCAAAGTTCGGGGTTTAGGGGTGTCTAGGCTGTCTAGAGGTGTCTGTAGTGGGGGGGGGGGGAGGCGGGATTGCCGGAATTTGACCCTAAGCCCTACACCCTAAACCCTAAAGCCGTCACATGCCCCTCAACGCCCTAAACAACCCCTCAACCCCTACAATTCCCCCTACACTGACACTTTGGGTCGTCTTACTGCCAATAACCCCGAAACCCTAAATCCTAGACCCTAAACCCTAAACCCTAAACCCCCCCACACCTGCGATCTCCCAGGTCAAGACGCGAAGAGACACTTGTCGAGCGACTGCTTCTGCAGTGAGCTCCGTTCATCCGTTCTTGGGGTGAGAAGTCAGGGGAGTCCCTATACCCCTAAACTCCTAAACCCCTAAACCCCCACACCCTTAAACCCCTAAACCCTAAACCCTAAACCCTTAAACCCAAACCCTACCCCCCGCATGCCCCCCATCCAAAGTAGGCAGAATCTCTGCACCTCCAACAACCCCAAAGCCCTGAAATCCAAACCTAAACTTACATCGTTGTTATCCAGGTCTTAGGGTTTAGGGTTTAAGGGTTTATATAGGGTTTACGGTTAGGGCCTAAACCCTAAACTTTGGGATTAGGGTGTAGGTTTTAGGGTTTAGGGTTAGGGTCCGCTCCCACGGCTCAGAAGCCCGAAACAACCAGCCCTAAACTCTACCACCCCAAACCCTAAACCCTAACCCCTGAACCCTAAACCCTAAACCCTAAACCCTAAACCCTAAACCCTCCGCAACTCTGCAGCTCTGAATCCCAAAGCCGGGGCACCCGACAACCCCCCCCAACTTGGGGGGAACCCTAAATCTCGATGCGAATGAGGAGCCTTCAGGCTCGCCTAAGGTATGTCATATAGGGCCAGAAGTCCAGGATCAGCTCCAGAATGTGCAACCCTGAATCTGAAAGCAGCCATTTGCCCGACCATCTAGGACCCTAAGCCCCAATTCCCTTTCCCTAAACCCGAAGCCCTAAACCCCAAACCCGAAACCCGAAAGCCCTAAGACCCAAACCCTAGACCCTAAGCCCCAAATCCCAAACCCTAAACCCCAAATCCCAAACCCGAAACTCCCAGCAGAGGCTCGACTGGTGGGCCTCCGGCGTGTCCTCGAGGTGGTTGTTGCCGTTACTTTGGGTTTCAGGGGATGTAGGGTTTAGGGTTTAAGGTTTAATTAGGGCCTAGGGTTTAGGGTTGGGCTTTCGGTTTAGGGTTTAGGGCCTTTTTGTTTCTCGTAGTTTGGCTTAGCTGTTTGGGGCTCATGCCTGCAATCCTTCTAATGAAGCCCTAGACCCTAAACCCTAAGCCCTAAACCCTAAAGCCTAAACCCTAAACCTTCGGGGATTTGGGGCTTCTGCGAGCTGGCTCCAGGGTTTACGGCTTCCGGGACAGGTTTGAACCAGGCTGCTGAGTAGGCACCGTTAACGTTATAGGGTTCAGCGTTTAGGGTTTAGTTCCTTTGTCATTGTTTTTATTCCCCACCCTCGGTGTGGGCTTGTTAGATTTTAAACTCAACTTCTCCTCGCCCGGAACTCTTCTCCTCGCCCGGTCTACTCCTCGCTCATCCCTGGAGTGCCCAACCCCAAATGTCTCTGGAGTGCCCAACTCTAGAGTGTTCCTGGAGTGCCCAACCCCAGAGTCTCCCTGGAGTGGAGTGCCCAACCCCAGAGTCTCCTGGAGTACCCCAGAGTGTCCCCTCAGTGCCCAACGACTCTGGAGCCCAACCCCAGAGTGTCCGTCTCCCTGGAGTGCCCCCAACCCCAGAGTGTCCCTGGCGTGCCCAACCCTAGAGTATCTCTACCAAGAGAGGGTGCGGATGTTCGAAGTAAAATCATAAAATTGTTACGCTCTTTAGACTCAGACCTAGACACCTACATGACAGATTGGGTTTCACGGGCTTTGGGCGGGTCTGGGGCCCTTATAGGAGCTTCAGGGTTTGAACATGCTTAGACCCTGAACCTTATGTAGAAACCTATAAAAACTTAAAACTCCTTTTGGGGTAGTCAGAAGTTGTGGACTTTTGCGGCCCTAAACCCTACATAATCCTAAGCCCTAGACCCTATACCCTATACCCTACAAACCCTCAACAGCTAAGCGTAACACCAACCCCGAATCCTCGAACCTAAACCCTAAACCCTAAACCCTAAACCCTAAACCCTAAACCCTAAACCCTAAACCCTAAACCCTAAACCCTAAACCCTAAACCCTAAACCCTAAACCCTAAACCCTAAACCCTAAACCCTAAACCCTAAACCCTAAACCCTACCCGTAGCACTCACCCCTCACCTCGAAGGACCAAGGGCCGCCAGAGTTCCTCTTCCCCCCTTTCCCCCTTCTCCCCCCCCCCCCCCCCCCCCAACCCAAAGAAGAAAAGAAAATAAGGCTTTAGGGTTTAGGGTTCAGAAAGGCTCCGTTCGGGTTGCGGTTTGAAGGTTTAGAGTTTTGGCAGGTTTTAGTTTAGGAATGAGACTTCAGGTGTAGACTCTGCAGGGTTCAGACGTTTAGAGTTTAGGCTTTAGCATGCCGAGGGTACTGTAGGATTTAGGGAGGGCTCAGGGGAAGCCATCCAAGATAAAACCAGAATCGTTGGTGCACGACGAGCCAGTCAGCCCCCAAGAAACTACCAGGCCGAATGTCTCGGCAACTTGTCAGTTGCAGATTGAATGACGACTTGTAAATCAGTCAGGAATTTGTTTTGTAGTTTCTGCAGGGGGGTGCCCCCCCCCCCCCCCCCCCTCGTTATCTCACCCTAAACCCTAAACCCTGAACCTTAACTCTAAACCCTCCACAGTGGCCCCCCTTAAAAACCCCGCCATTTTGTGAAGGTCACGGAGCAAGTCCGTGATGTCCTCGATACGCTTTAGCTTCAGCGCGGCGAAAACGCGGTGCCTTGAGTTGAGTTGTGAGGATTGGGATGTTCTTTCTTACACTAACAAGCCATCACAGGGAGTACAGTACGCCTATTTAATCCCTATGAAGGGCTGTTCGTATAAGGGGGGACAATCCAATGTCGGGATCATGTTAGGGCTCCTTCAGTGAATTATTAGTCTTTCTCCTGTTTTTTGGGTATTTAGGCTTCAAACCATAAACCCTATACCCGGAAACCTTGCCCTACTGCAATGAACAAATTGCCGGTCAGGATTTCAAGTTCATTCCGACAAAAAGACACAAGCCACCTTCAGGCGCACTGCCCGAGTGCCATTTTGGGCCATGTAGGTGAGCATCATTCATTGCATGGCACGGGCGAATGAGCTGACAAGAGACACCTTCTGACCTCTTCGCCTGTATACGACTAAGGCGATTAGTCCAGGATGTCTTTATGAAGACAAGAAGCGTGCCGAATAGTAGGGATTCTTGGCAGCGGGAACGCAGGAATTAGGGCTAAGGGTTTGTACTTTACACGGGTTTCGAATGTCGTCTTCATCGACTCATTACCCCCCCCCAAAAAACCTGACACAATGGAAAGCTGTTGCGGCTCAAGACAAGAACTTCATTGCAGCAGAGACCTTACGACTTGCTGACCGACTTGCTGACCTTCAACCCAGAACCCCAAAAACGTCCGGAGACACCATTCATGTTGACCAGCACAAGAGCTTTCATCAAACAGGTTCCGCCTGAGATGTACTTGCAACCTGTGCTAGCATTCTAAACCCGAAACCCTCAACCCGAAACCCAGAAACCAGAATTTCATCTCCAGCCCAAGACATCACACACCTCAAGTCACTGAAGGCGCAAATCGCCCGCCACTACTCACCTGACTCCCCTTGCATCCTAAATCCCAAGCCCTAAACCCTAGCCCTAAACCCTAAACCCTAAACCCTAAATCCTAAGCCCAGAATTTTTCAGGCGCGGATCCCTAAGGCTAGGCCGTTTGCTGAAGCTTTTGGGGCTTCGCTGCTTCTCAGGCCCTGTGCTCGCAGATGCTGGTTTAGGGGGTCTAGGGTTTAGGGTTTAGGGTTGAGGGTTTAGGGGGTCTAGGGTTTAGGGTTTGGGGGGTTTTGCTGAGCTTTAGTGGGGGTCAGGGCTTGTGCTATTGAGGCGGGCCCTAAATGCCAGCAACTTTTGGGGTGTCTGAGTCTAGGGTTAATTGGGTCTAGGGTTGTGACTTGTGGTTTCAGTTGAGGATTCTAAGTTACCTGCGCAATGAGGGTTCCAAGTTTCGGGCTTTGAGGCTCAGGGCCTCAGCCGATACTCTGATTACTCCAAGGCCCTCAGGCGTTTAGGGTTTAGGGTTTAGGGTTGAGGGTTTAGGGCATCAACTCTCTAACTGAGCAGCAGTGGGCCCTGCGCAAACCAAGGAACACTAAACCCTAACCCCAAGCCGTGAACCCTGAAAGTAAGCCCCCGGCACTAAGTAGGGTTTAGGGTTAGAGGCTTTAGGGTCTAGACTTTTGGGCCTGGACCCTAGTCACTGACAACTGTACCCTCCAGTAGCAGCTTCCTCGAATGTAGGCAGTTCTCGAAATGAGGGTCCCTTAGAATTTTTGGGGCCCAAATATAAGGCGTCCGCCTTTGTAAACGTTAAGCCCTAAAGCCTACCTGAGTCCCTGCCCTTTTTTGCAAAGTTGTGACAGACATGGTACTACTAATACAGCAAACCATATTCTAACCCTAAACCCTAAACCCTAAACCCTAAACCCCAAACCCTAAACCCCAGTTAAGCCCCTAGACTCCAACATGCCGTGTGTGCCTGATCTGACTCTTCGCATCTCGCGTTCAGAGAGGTCCTTCGGAGTGCGGAGTCCTGGTCTTTAAGAGGGTTGAGGTTTTCGGGTTTAGGGTTTAGGGTTTAGGGTTTAGGGCTAGGGTTTAGGGGTTAGGGGTTAGGGTTTAGGGTTTAGGGCAAAGGGTCTAGGCTGTGAGATATCCGTGGGACTCTCCTGTTGCCTACTGCTTCATGGGTCATGCGAGGCTCCAACCCAGAAACCCTCTAGACCCTGTGACCTACAGATGTTGCAGCTGGGGGCCTTCCATAGGAGCCCCAAAAACCCACGTAGACACAAGGAGCCTACTCTTGGGGGAAAGGGCCCCTGTAAGGGGGATTCTGCAAAACCATGTGTGTAGAATGCTGCACGCTAAGCCCTAAACCCTAAACCCTAAACCCTAATAAACCCTAAACCCGAAACCTGCAGGCCTTCTGAGGCTACATGGGCGCCGTCCACTCAGGGCCCTAATCCTGGCAAGGCGGGGAGCCCCGACTATCTGAGGCCTTCACATGTCCGGTTAGGGTCTACGTTTTAGGGTTTAGGGTTTTGGGTTTAGGGTTTTGGGTTTAGGGTTTTGGGTTTTGGGTTTAGGGTTTAGGGTATGGGTTTTGGGCTTCGGGGTTTAGTGTTTGCCCTTATCGAGTTCTGAAGTCTGGGCCCCTTGGGTTTTCTAGGGGGTCTAAAGGGTGTATATAAGGATTCAGGTAATGGGCTTGATGGCTCTTTGGGTTCATGGGGCCTATAGGCTAGGCGCTTAGGGTTTAGGGTTTAGGGTTTAGGGTTTAGGGTTTAGGGTTTAGGGTTTAGGGTTTATGGTTTAGGGTTTAGGGTTTAGGGTTTAGGGCTCAGGGCTGAGAGTGCTCAGGCTGTAGGAATCTGGGGCTCCTTGTTTGTTAGGCTTTGGGGGTTTGTAGGACTTAGGGCCTAGAGTTTAGGGGCTTCGGGCTTCAGGGCAAGCTTTGAAAAGCGTTTGACGTCTTACGAACCTAGACTCTCTGAACCCTACACCCGAAACCCTAAACCCGTCTTCTTCTTCCCAAACTGAAAGGGTCTCGCGACGAAACCCCTAAACCCCTAAACCCCTAAACCCCTAGACCCCTAAACTCCTAAACTCCTGAACTCCAAAACCCTAACCCCTAAACCCTACTGTAAACCCTAAACCCCCAACCCCAAACCCCAAGCCCCAAACCCCAAACCCTAAACCCTAAACCCTAAACCCTATTCGGCCTTGGGCCTTCACCTCTAGGCCATGCCTTCGTCAAGCCGAGGAAGGCCCCAGAGGCGGGGTTAGGGTTTAGGGCTTAGGGCTTGAGGGTTTAGGGTTTAGGGTTTAGGGTTTAGGGTTTAGGGTTTAGGGCTTAGGGTTAGGCTTGAGAGGGTTCATGGCTAAGGGTTTGAGGGGTTTAGGGTTTTAGAAGTAGTGGTTTGGGTCTCTAGGGTTTCGGGGCTGTAGGGGTTTATGGTTTTAGGGGTTTCGGGCTTAGGGGTTTGCAGGTTTCGGGGGTTTAGGGCGTTCAGAGGTTAGGGTGTTAGCATGTTAGGGGTCTATTTTTTTGGAGTTTAGGGTTTTTGGGGGGTTTAGGGCTTGAGCATCACAGAATTTAGGGTTTAGGGTTTAGGGTTTAGGATTTAGGGTTTAGGGGTTGACAGCTTCAGAGTGCAGGGTTTTAGCTTTAGCGTACTGGGGCATATGGCGCGCTGTGGGTTGAGAGCTCAGAGGCCTATCTTGTGTGTGACCCTAAACCCTAAACCCTAAACCCTGAACCCTAAACCCTAAACCCTAAACCCTAAACCCTAAACCCTAAACCCTAAACCCTAAACCGGAATGAAGGAATGTTGGACCCTTGGGGCACTTGGACCTGCAATCCTTAAAGTGCCCGCGTTTAGCTACAGGGTGGGTCAGACGGATTTCGTGCCTTCAACACCCTAAACCCTAAATTATACTAAAGCCCTGAAGCCCCTAAACTCCGAACCCACCTAAACCCTAAACCCCAAACCCCCCTAAACCCTAAACCCCAAACCCTAAACCCTAAACCCCAAACCCCCCTAAACCCTAAACCCCAAACCCTAAACCCTAAACCCCAAACCCCCCTAAACCCTAAAGCCCAGAGAACAGACAATTTCTTGCGGCTCAAGCTCTCGTCACCGTGCAGGTGTATCCTTGAAGCCCTGAAATCCTAAACCCTAAACCCTAAACCCTAAACCCTAAACCCTAAACCCTAAACCCTAAACCCTACACCCTACACCCTACACCCTACACCCTACACCCTAAACCTAAACCCTCGGGTTTGCCCACTGGAGGTAAAGAGGGTTGTCCAGTGCATGGTCTTGTACAAGCAGGGGATAATCGAGTCTCCCAGGTAGAGCACTTCGGTTGACAAAGAGAATAAGGGTGGTTTAGGGTGTAGGGTTTAGGGTTAGGGTTTAGGGTTCAGGGTTTAGGGCTGCTATCTAGGACCATGCAATGCCCAATGAAGCCCTTGAAAGTGTGTATGGCTGCCGCGGTGATTGCCGGCGCCGTCTCGCTGGGAAAGCTGCAGCTTTCTTTGACAAGGCCGGTATGCGCGCCCAGGCTGGTTCTCAGCAGTAGCCCTAAACCCTAAATCCTAAACCCTAAATCCTAAACCCTAAACCCTAAACCCGAAACCACCCTTCTTCCCGTTGTTAAGGACTTCGGATCCCTTCGACCCTTGTGTATTCCCTAGCTTTATAGCGAGAGGATCTTTGAGACCCGTTTACTCGCGCATTTTAGGGTTTAGGGTTTAGGGTTTAGGGTTTAGGGTTTAGGGTTTAGGGCTTAAGTAAACCCCTTTCAACAAGGACGGATAGTTTTCCCGTATGGTCCCTGTATAGTTAGACTATATAGTAACCCCACAAAACCCCATTCTTATTCTTAAGGCCCATGGAGGAGGTAACCCTAAACCCCTAAACCCTAAACCCTAAACCCTAAACCCTAAACCCTAAACCCTAAACCCGAAACCACCCTTCTTCCCGTTGTTAAGGACTTCGGATCCCTTCGACCCTTGTGTATTCCCTAGCTTTATAGCGAGAGGATCTTTGAGACCCGTTTACTCGCGCATTTTAGGGTTTAGGGTTTAGGGTTTAGGGTTTAGGGTTTAGGGTTTAGGGTTTAGGGTTTAGGGTTTAGGGTTTAGGGC